GCGGCTTCACTTCTGGCCAGGAGACGAAAACGGCCGCTCTCCTCAGCAACAAGAGCCTGGACGTCAGAGACACAGCTGGCCCTGGTCCGCATGAGGAGGACCTGGACGGAGATTCCTTCTTTGACGACCCCATTCCCAAACCCGAAAAGACTTACGGTTGGTGAGTCGACTCTTTTGGGTTATCAGGATAGAGGCTTACAAGGCACTTTCTCAGCGCTGTATGTACAGTTAAGAACAGCGAGCTGCTAAAGGCTCATACTTATTAGACACACGAGTCCGATTTGTGTGATCCAAGCCTTCGATGTGGTAATGCGTCCAGAGAGAGGAAGCCTAGGTGTTCCTGACTCCCCCAGCAGGAGGTCCTGAGCCTCACGTGTGCCAGCCACAGTCGGAGCTGCAGGGCGCAGGCGCCATACGGGCACAGCCCTGCCGCTCTGCTCTGAGGGAGACTGGACGCTGGAGCTGAGCAGCAGAGTGGCTGGGTCTCCAGGCACTGTCTCAGGTCCTGGCCACCAAGTTGCAGGCCTGGGCGCAGAGTGGCGGGGTCGTCCGCCCCGGAAGAAGTGACGGGAATGGTGAGCAGGAGGAGACGGGCGTGACCTGAATGGGAGCGTAAGGATGTGCTCAGAGAGCAGTGGCTCCCAGGGGACTTCCGGGTTTCCAGGCCGAGCACCGGGAAGGCAGAACCGCCCTTTACTGAGCTGAGGGGTGGGGAGAGCGGGGCGGGCCACAGGGGTGGGCCAGGGGACAGGAGAGGGCTCCGCTTCCACTTGCTGGGTTGGAGAAGATGGTCACGGGAAAGGTGAGATGAGTGAGGGCCGGGTGCGGGAGCTCTGGCTGGATGCGCGTTAGGGACTCCGCCTTAGGTAGTGAGGAAAGCTGGGCGCCTGCCGGGGTCACCAGGCCATGGGGCACTGCAGCGTCTCCAGGTCAGCCCGGAGAGGAGCCAGCACGCAGGGGCCTGAGCCTGGAGCAGGAGGCTGGCCACGCAACGGCATTTAGCTCTGAAAACCTGCCTCTGCGTGCAGCAGCTGGAGGCTGCGGATGGCCGTGACGGTCGGTTTGGTCAGATGGTGGCATTGGGGCCGTGCTGATGGTCCGAGTGGCTCAGGAAGGACAGAGGAGAGGGCTGTCGGTGGTGAACACTTTCTTGATGAGTTTTATAGGAGGGTGCAGAGGAACGGGTGGGGCTGGAGGGCGGGGTGTGGGGTTAGGACATTACAGCGGGAAAGGGAGCAGCAGGCATGTACTAGTATGTGGATGAGAACGGTCCTGGGTTTTTTGTTTGTTAATCCTCACCTGAGGATATTTTCCCATTGGTCTTTAGAGAGAGTGGGAGGAAGGGGGAGAGAGAGACAGCGATGTGAGAGAGACACATCGATTGGTTGCCTCTGCACATGCCCTGACCAAAGCTTGGGA